TTTTCCCCCCCCCCCCCCCGCCTCCTCCTCTCTATGCGTGATGCTCTGCTTGACTCTTTCCGCCTCCCCTTCCTTCCTCCTGTAAGTCTCTCCTTCCCCTGGCCCTCCACGTCCTCCCCTCTCCTGCCCGCTCTCGCATTCTAGCGAACGAATTGAAAGTATACGTTTGAGAATTAAATCGATAAACGAGGAATCGCGGAATTGTAGCAATTATTGTATCAGTGGTTTGCATTTATAATTCCATTATCGCTTGTTTATCTATTTCGAGAGCACGGGAATGAAATTTCAGGAAATCCTGCTAGAATAGGTGCATTAAATTAAATTGCGTTATGTAAAATTGAATTGAATTAAATTACGTTACGTAAAATATGAAATATTATTTCAAGTCGTAATCGAAATAATAATATGACTGGTATATTATGAGGTGTAGGTACCGTCGCGTCGCTTGTAACTTGTATATGTAATTTCTGTATTCCTCGATGTATTCCCTGATGTGAATTACATTCGGTCGAACAATGGAGCAACGCCGCGGCCTGCAACCCGCAAACGAATTCTACGACGAAATCAAATTCCAAGACGTGGAAGACGATCGCTTCGCGATTCGAGTTGTCCTTGCTTTCGCCTCGGTTTTGCACGATCGGATCCGCAAACGATTTATGTGCGGAAATAAAATTCGCGCGACGAAAACAATAGGGTGATGATTTATCGCGCTGCGCCTAATTCGCTCTCGAATTCTCTCTTCGTGCCGCGAGCAGCAAATTTTTCCAACCAAAATCGGATAAATGTGCGTAGTTGTGGGATTTTATGCGCCGCCCTCCGGCCTTCTCCCGGCGATTATTTTTACATTTAGCTCACGAAAGGATTGCGAGATATATGAAATAAAATGTCGCGAAGAAGGTCACGCAGCGTTGCATTTATAATGTCACGTATTTACTAACGCGAGAGATGCATCGTTTCGTAAGCAGATCGGTAAAGTAATGCGTAGAAAATAATGGCGTAGCGATATTATATTTTTCTCCTTTGTATTTTCGCGAGCGGCAAAAAATCAATATATGGAAAGAATCATTTTGCTCAAATATCTAAAAATTTTTAATTAGACATCTACACATACATTCGAAAAGAATTTTGTTAGACTACAGAGAAATCGATGCAACTGTATGTATACATATATACACATGCGCGTATGCACGCACGCACAATGATGTTGAAATAATTAAAAAATTAAGATAGATATAGACCTGAAAATAAATGTGTTAGACCATCAAAATAATTGTAATAATTAGGACGCTCAATATATATAACTGCTTACAGAATGTCAAAATTTCTTGCAATACTGCTCATCATATTTGAGCGTTCTATATATAATTATTTTGATGGATCAACAAAATTATTTTCAGATCTCATCTAACTAAATTTCTGGATACTTTAGCTAAATCGTCGCCAGATGGACTTTAGTAAACGTCGCGATGATAAAAATACTATAAATTTAGTACATTGTGCAGTTTGACGTGCACGCGACAAATGTGATACATATACACACACACACACACACACACACACACACACACACACACACACACACACACACACACACACGCACGCACGCACGCACACGCACACGGTGTATAGGTGTGTTGCGTCGCGATAAAAATCGACATTTTTCCGAATGGTCGGCGTGCAGCGAGGGGCAAGAGGGGCAAGAGGAGGATCCCCGCGCAACTGTTTCGCTCTCGCAATAGAAAATATGTTTTGAAATTCGCGCAATGACACGGCAACAATTCTCTTCGAGAGTAATAATATAGTTGCCGAGCGTTTTCTCGCAGTTTATTTACGCGCAAGGTTACCTAATGTTACTTTAATCGACGCGATTCTGTTTTTGAAATTGTATCGAGCACTAAGCTTTGATGTAATGTATCACAACATTAACGTTTGAATATCACAGTTCATCGCACGTAAGTGAGGACGTTGAGCGTGACGTTTTGAATGCGCGCGCGCGAGTTTAATATTTTTGTTACGATCTAATCGCGCGCGGAGGAAAAGCGTAACTTTTTAATTCTCTTTAAATCTTCTTTTTTTTTTCTTTCTTTTTAACAGATTGTGTATTCCACGTATCAACGTGATAAAATCATTATTATCTTTGCTAATATTATCGTTATTTAAACAATGCAAATGTAGCATGCTTGGATTTATTCATTTATTCATGAATTATTATTGGTTTTGTCCGAGAATGATAAATTTCTTCGCTTCTATATTTCTCCATAAATCAAAATTATAATGTATAATTAAATGTTATATATACATTCAGCGCGCGACAGCTAACAATATTCCGTTCCAGCTAGAAAATTACCAATTCCCGCTTAAATTTGTAATTATAATATATCAAAAGACACACGCACACACAAATATCTCATCCGTGTAGATAACCGTATTTACACACACACACACACACACACACACACGCGCGCGCGCGCGCACATACGCATATACACACACGCACGCACACATACGAAAACTGTCTTTAATTAACTTTCCTATATATTATATATTACAGTGTGAAGGCGGAATACGCAGAGACAAGTTTCTTTTTATCCCGCTGGTTTCAAGTATCTTTTTTTATATTAATTCATCCAGTAATCGCGCATGCATACATAGCCTGTTACGTGGAGTCGCATATCCAACATGTTTACAAGCCTGTATCTCTGTGTGAAATCATCGGGATCGCGTTTGTGTGCGTGTTGTGTGTATGTGCGCGCGCACAACGATGAGCGCGTGCAGGCCGAGTTGTACAGGGCGAATCAAATTCAACCGATAGAAGCTGGGACAGGTGCTCCAGGTGCTGACGATATCTAGCGAGCGAATGCTGTTGGAGAGAATATGGTCGAAAATATGCTGTATATAATAGAGAATTATATATCTATAACGACGGATTCTCGGCGTATTCTCTCTTTTTCGTTGTGGAGGAAATATTTTCTGTGAAATGTGACCGCGTGCACAGGTATCTCTATCAATTTATCGTTTATATTTGCGCTTAAAATCA